ATTCCCCCCCCCCGACATGCTCGCACACAGCCAGCTCGGTCTATCCGTGTGAGCCACGCGTCGGCATTCGTCGACGCGCCGAGCGAGCGAGAGAGAGAGAGAGAAACAGAATATCATTCTCTCCTTGTCGCTCTCGTTCTCGCTCAGCGAGCAAGCCTAATTCTTTCTTACCCATAATCTGAATCGCGGGCGCTACTGTCTCTCTCTCTTTTCCTCCCTATGACAATACTGAAAAGTTTTGTCTACCCGGCGCACCGAAATTATTACAAATAATATTTTATTATTAATAATATTATTATTTGTAATATATATTATTTGTAATATTATTATTTGTAATTTTATTTGTAATTGTATAATAATGTTACAAATAATACAAATTTTTACAAATTTTATTTGTAAAAATTTATATCATTCGTAATATTATTTGTAATAGTATTAATAATATTCGGCACCAAGAAAATTAAATATATTTTATTAATTATTTTGCGGAGTCGGGCAGGTTCACAGGTTTGATTATTGAATTGTTTAATAATATTTTAAGAATAATTTTAAGTTATACAAGGAAGTTCGTCATTACCGCAGTATTTAATGACTCCAAACCCTCCCTGCTATGTGTGAGTGTGCGCGCCCGCGTGTATATGTAGACGGGTTTTTATTGAATTAAGTGTTCAAATTGTCTTCCGTCTGCTGCATGACAATAACCTTATCGTAGATGAAATTCATTTAAAACGTTTCGTCTCATTTTTGGTGAAATAAGATGTATTTGGTGTAGTATGCGTTCCCTAAGGTCTGCCAAGTTAGCAAGTTTCGTTCCGTACACATTGTTTTTAACATATTTCCATAAGAAGTAGTCCAATGGAGAAAGATCTGCTGATCTAGAGGGCCACTCTATTTCTCCACATCTTGTTATCCATCGGTTTGGGAAAGTGTCAGTTAAAAATTGACGCACTACTACTGCATAGTCCTTATCTGTGCTGACACACACACACACACACACCCACACACACACACACACACACACACACACACACACACACACACACACACACACACACACACACACACACACACACGCGCACGCACGCACGTACACACGCACACGCACACGCACGCACACGCACACGCACGCACACGCACACACACACACAGGGGGGTGTAAAGTCCGACCATGCAACCTCCACGCGGTACATCCTGAATAATACTAATGCTGGCGGCACCGTAAATTCTAAAGCTCATAACTCAGACAATTCTCAACAAAAATAGGTCATCAAGTAGTGTTTTGGAAACGTCTCGTTGTCATCTTTAACACTGTGTGATAAAAAATTGGATGTTCCGTTTAAAAAAATCATGTTGGCATTGACCTCGCCTTGAATCCTCTACTCATGTTCAACCGGATATGATCATTCAATAGAACTTTTAAAACCCTACAACTTTAGTTGGAAACATTTTCCTTAAAAATGTTTCGTTTTCGAGGTATTTGACCGTTTCCAGACTTTTCTAACTAAAGTGATATGGTCCATTATCGATGATATTATTAAAAATTTTTTCGAACGAAAATTGCATGGCTTGAAGGACGACACATGACGGAAATATGGACTTGACCTTGAGTGACCTTGTCAAAATCAGGCCAAGGTCATTAATGTTTTTTTAAACAGAAACTACAATTTTTTATTACTTATTCTTGTAGCTTGTTATCTCGAGATCTTTCCAAAACACTCTAACAAAGTTACATTTCATTGAGTACTTTCCGAGTTATGACGCTTGGAAATTAAGGCAAGACTGATCACTGATCCGACCAATTAAGGCAAGATCAATTCGAATATGTCTTTAGCCGTTAATAAGTCTTGGCCTTAGAAGTACGAAATAAAACCTCCTTGCTTTTATTACAATATCCTGTAAGTTAGCAAATATTCTTCACACATACAAACATAGTATTATTATATTTTTGTTGAGTAGTGCACTGAACAACTATGACATTGTTCTGAGAGTTTTCTCATTTAGAGCGACGAAACAAATATATTTTATGAATTTTTTTTGCGCAGATAGAAAATTTCACGGATGTAATTGTTTCTGGAGATTATTTAATACTGTATGAAAAATATTTATTAACTTACAGGATATTGTAATAAAAGCAAAGAGGTTTCATTTCGTACTTCTTGATTCTGTTACAATATTCTTTTATATTTCATACTACATCCTTGTATAACTTAAAATTATTCTTAAAATATTATTAAACAATTCAATAATCAAACCTGTGAACCTGCCCGACTCCGCAAAATAATTAATAAAATATATTTAATTTTCTTGGTGCCGAATATTATTAATACTATTACAAATAATATTACGAATGATATAAATTTTTACAAATAAAATTTGTAAAAATTTGTATTATTTGTAACATTATTATACAATTACAAATAAAATTACAAATAATAATATTACAAATAATATATATTACAAATAATAATATTATTAATAATAAAATATTATTTGTAATAATTTCGGTGCGCCGGGTAGACAAAACTTTTCAGTATTGTCATAAGGAGGAAAGGAGAGAGAGACAGTAGCGTCCGCGATTCAGATTATGGGTAAGAAAGAATTAGGCTTGCTCGCTGAGCGAGAACGAGAGCGACAAGGAGAGAATGATATTCTGTTTCTCTCTCTCTCTCTCGCTCGCTCGGCGCGTCGACGAATGCCGACGCGTGGCTCACACGGATAGACCGAGCTGGCTGTGTGCGAGCATGTCGGGGGGGGGGGGGGGAATCCTCGTGCAAGCCCGTCATCAAATTCGCATCACTGATACCAATGATGTCAAAACCGAACAAGTTGCGGACAAGCGTAACTTGTAAATACCGGAGATCAACTGTTTATCAGCTCATAGACAATTAATATGACGAGATACCCGCGGAGACCCGTGTACTTCTCTTTCGTCTTTGCGTACAATTGCGATCAATAAAAAATTTTCACAAATTGTCCGGTTTTGACATCATTGTTATACGTGTGTGTACGTATGTGTGTATGTGTACACGTACAATTGCGATATACACTCATCACGTTAGCATTGATCACTTTTATTCATGCTAAAAGAAATAAGTATGATTATGTAAAGAATTTGTCTGCGTATTATTATACATTCTACATAGTTCTCCCTGTGATAGTAAAAATAACACACTTGAACAACCTCTACGCTCATATCACAAAGCCTGATCCACTGCGCTACTGAAGCAAATTGGTAATTCTTCTGCTATAACGACATTAACAGAAAAGACTAAACTTCAAACTGCATTTCTCAAAAACGTTTAAGATTTGCACCGTTTTTGGATAGCATTTGTTACTATTACATCAATATTATACTTTTCTAAAAGCAAAATCGCGCGGTGATTTCAAGGATGAAGATTTCTCTTGTATGAGATATTAATTATTCATTCTTTATTAATGGGAAAAGGTTTTCCTTTGGTTTAAATGTTCAAGAAAAGTTATTTGTTCTCTGAGAATCTTTCAATTCTTGTGTTCGTGAAAAGTTTATAAAATTCGTAAAGAAAGAAAATTATTTTACTACCTACCTGTTCAAGAGTTGCGCATAAGAGATATTTTAACAAATCTGAATCTGAATCAGTCAACAAATTAAATTTTTCGTTCAAAGAAGGTAAGCGTAAGTAAGATAAGTATAAATAATAAATTAAATATTATTCTCTCGATATAATAATAAATATTTTTGCTTTAGCTGAATCATCGAAATAAATATTCTATTATAAACTGACTTTTCGGGTTACAATATCAATTTGATTTTCCAGAGTACACTTTCAAATTGACTTTTCGGAATACGCTATTAAATTGACTTTTCGGAGTACACTTTCACGGAATACATTGACTCTCCTGAGTATACATTTTTTAGTTGACTCTGTGGAGTACACATTTTTAATTAACTCTTCGGAGAGAAGAAAAGAGAAACATTTTATATTTTATTTAAAAAATCTTGCTTTTTGCAAAAAACTGATTGATGAAGAAAAAAATAAATTCACGACCTCAACGAAGATCTTAAAAATATTACTGCAAAAAATGAAGTTGTTGTTATTATATACCATTGTACAATATTAAAATATACGCGCAATAATTATCTATAATTTGCATATATGAGCGTTTATGTAATTATAAGTAATATAAAAGTCATGACAAATTAATTTGGCCGTGCGTTATCTCTATCACTTCATGGCTAGAAACCGTCCGAACTCTCGAAATTATTTTCTTCCTGAATTATGAATATAAAGCAACGTGAATAGAAAATCAGGGAATGAAAGGGAGAACGCCGACGTCTGTCTTACGATAAGATCGCTGCTGGCTCGCTTCAGTTTATCGTCGCGATTGTCTATTCGCTGGTGGTGAGACAAAGACCGATTCTCCGTTTTTATCTAACTAATCCAGCTCGCTCGTGAACATAGCACAGAACAGAACCAAATAATTATGGACATAGAACGGAATAGTACCAACAAATCGTGGACATTGGCTTAGTAGTTCATTTCCATGAAAAATGACCCAGTTGGCGCTTCGAATCAGCCAATATTTCGATAACGCTGTAAATGCAGCCATGCCCGCTCTCAGGCTTCTCTCTGGCTGCGTTCCGATATTCACTGTCAGTACTGAAGATCTATAATATACGTGACGCATACTATATATTTTTAGTACTGGCAGTGAATACCGGAACGCAGCCTCTGTTTCTATGTTCTACCTGGGATCTTTCTTGTTAGTGATACAATCGCTGCATACTTGTCTCGTATTTACTCCTGCCGTGCAGTCTGCTCATCGGTGGTAAGACAAAAACAAAGAGCGATTGGTCGACTATGCTTTTCTAACTTACAATTTTTGTAAAAAAGTAGAGTGAACAAAAACCATGGACACTTTGTTGTTATCATCGGGACGTAGTTTATATATACTTTCTCAGGGGGCGCGTCGAAAAAAGTGTCCTTTAGAATTTGGCCCAATGGTTGCTCTCGGGCGTCTCTATGGTACTATATTCTTTCGAAAGTATCTAATGATGGTTAGGAGAGCGAATGCGAGACGTTTTTATTAGAAAATTTGAAGTATTGTATATTTATGGTGAATTACGGAAATATTTATGTGTTTGAAACAAGTATGATGGATGATATTCACATGAATTCGACAATTACAATTGAAAAATTCGAAGAAGAGGTAGTTAAATTAGACTCGAGTTTCAACGCCAACGAGATCATTTGTCTTGATAATCAGAGTTATAAATCGAGAAATGCCAATAAATGTTTCTCTTCTGATTATATTAATGCTGATAGTGGAGTTGATGATATGATTAAGACCGATGTTAACACCAATGAAGATCCATCATCGTTACAACTTAATGATATCACTTTAAAACCTATTTTTAAGGTTATGTTCCGTGATGAGAGTATTTCACGGTACGATCATATATTTTACATATTTTTGAGTACAAAAAGCATACACGTTAAAATGTTTAATTTAAAAATTACTCTGGAAGAACAAGAGTTATATAAAAATAAAGATTCAGACGTGTTCAACTAAATTAATAGAAATAAATTTTAAATCTATTGATAAATTCAAAATAAAATAATTGCACTTAATTGTGATCTTATACATTGAAATTTAAAATTATTAAAGATAAAATGACTTATATAACATCTTTTATGATATATATATATATAAAATATATATATATAAAATAGATGTCAGATATATGAATTAAATCATAAAGTATTTTATTATTATGATAAATTGTTTATAGATTATAGAATTTCTGTTTACAGGCTATATCGACAAAAAATAAGAGATTTCTTATATACTTTAGTGCAGTCAAAATTGCCCTGTGAGGAAGATGTGAATACATCCAATTTGGTATTAGAAATCTGGGATAAGAAAATATTTCAAGATAATTTGTCTATTAATAAAAAGAATAATATTATATCATTATCCAATAATCATAGTATAGAAAGCAGCAATGTTACATGTGATTTACTATTTGATACCCAACCAAAGTTAACAAATGATTTTGATATACCTACTTATGGAAAGGTTTGTTAATTTTATCTTATATTTTTTATTTTTGTATTATTACTAAGTAACTATGTCAATATATATACATATATAGTGTCTGATAATATGTATATTTCTTCCTAAGATAAAATTTGCTGAACAAATTAGATGAAAAAGACTTTTGTACTCCATCTTGCAACTACAATAATTATTGAAACATTAAAGAAAATTAGTAAATGTATATATTAGGTAGGATAAATTCTTTTTGCAGCAAAGTCTCATTGAAACTTTGAATTCATTGAAACTTTGAATCATTGAATCATTGAAACTGTCTGAATTCATTGACAATTTTTTAACAACAGCGAGCAATATGTAATGCTAGATGGAACACTTCTACTGTCCAATATTATATACTGTCCCATTGATAAAAGATTGTCTATAAATTTAAATAAATCATTTTGAATAAGATTTTGCCTAAAGATCTGTGTTACTCTATCATGTATATTTATTTATTATTTTTTAATTAATACCTTAACCATCAGATATTTTTAAAAATAATCATTTTTGTTGATTCAACAATTTCATTTTATGAATTCTACCTCTATATAAATGGATGTATACATGACATCTTGTTGTGTGTGTATGTATGTGTGTATATAAAATTAATATATTTGATTTTACTTATTTAAAGAATAAATTTTATTCTCTTTATATTTATTGTTTTTATAAGCAACATTATTTTATTTCAGAAATATAAAAGTACATTTGAGGAACCAGATTCTGAAATGTTGAAAGATCCAGCACCGAAAATGAGTTGTTTTAATTGTGAAGGTAATCACAATCTGCGAGATTGTCAGTTGCCTAGAAATCAAGCGAGTATTAATAAAAATCGTAAAGATTTTGCTGTAAAACATATGAGATCAGGAGTCCGTTACCATTTAAATGAAGAACAAAAATTTAGTCATATAATTCCTGGTCAATTAAGTCAAAAGCTACGTGCAGCCCTAGGATTAAAAGATAATGAATTACCTAAGCATATATACAGGTATCCATTCATAATCCATTGAATTTTGTAAAGTTACTCCTTCCTATCTTTCTGTTGCTTAAATTTGTATTTATATTTATCTCTATTATCAATAGTAGGGTTCTCCCACCTAATTCATATCACTTTCTATTTGTAACATGTAAATGTTCTTCTACTTCATTATATTATAAAAATATTTACTTGATGTTGAGTATTACATTAAAATAAGAAGAAGAAGAAATTCAATTCTCAATCTAATGGATTAAGAAGATTTTATTTTTTCTGTATGTCCAAAATGTATTTTCTTAGAATGAGATCACTTGGCTATCCTCCTGGATGGTTAGAAGAAGTGTGTTTACAACCTTCTGGATTATCATTATTTAATTCTGATGGGATAGCAGAAATTGAAACACATGACGAATCACGAGAAATCACTATGGATACAAATAGGGATCAATATGATATAAAAAAAATATATGATTTTCCTGGCTTTAATGTACCGCCTCCTCCTGGCACCATTGATGTAAGTGATTCTTATATATTTGACATTTGTATTATGAAAATAATTTTGCATCATAAGATGCAACATATTTTTAATTTGTAGTCAGAAAAGTCAATAAAGGCAAACGCGAGATATATATTGCAAAACTGAATTTATAAATGAGAAATAAAGTTGAACAAATCTTGATTCCTATAAGAATTTGAACAAAATATCGTACAAAAAAATTTGAAGAAAGTAATACACAAATTATTTATAGATTTACCATATGTAGAATACTATAACTTAAAAACCCCATATCTCACATATAGCAAGTCAGTTTTTTGCCATCCTTGATCCATACCAGTGAGTTTTGCAATTTATATTTTGCATTGGTTTGCATTGGTATTGATTTTTTTTCATCTACAATAGATTATGTATCTATGAACCGTGATCATTTTATTAATTTTAATCTATTAATCAGGAATGTTATAAATTTTATGCACCACAAATGCATCCCATGCATAGTAAAGAAGCGATGTTATTATGTCTGCAAGGTAAAGAAACAAATGATGGTTATAAGCGTAAGAAATTAAAACTATCTACATCAGCAAATGTCTCGGAAAAAATAATATCTTGTGAAATGGACATAGAAGATGCTGAAGGTACAATATAGTTTAATATAATTTATATAATATAATTTAAAATAACATATATGAGATTTATTACTCCTAGTATGAAGTTGCTTTACTAGAAACAATCATGGAAAAAGAAGATAGAAAGTAATGATAATTCTTTTGCTATCAACTATGTTATGTTATTAACACATATTTTTATTCTTATGTTATTAAGTTATATTATTTTTTCTTATGTTATTAAGATACAAAGAACTTTTTTTATTTTATTTAAATAGAAGCTTCTATCGAAAATGTGGTGTTAATGGACATTTCGTACCACCATTACCAAACCAATTTAACATCATTGTTGCCACCACCGCCGCCACCACCGTCACCACCGCCACCACCATCACCAGGAATAGATGTAGTAATGGAAGATTTGGATTCGCGATCTCAAGAATTACTTTCCCTATACGGTATGTTATGAAAAATATTACTATGATATTTCTTCTGAATTTATGATTTAAATTTGTGATATTATATTCTTTAGGATGACACTAACCTTATGCAGAGCAAATTCACCATCTTTACCCGAATTAGAAAACATGAAAAAACAGTTACTTGTAGAACTTGAAGAAACCAGTTCGCAATCTAATCCAGATGTTTCACTTAAAAGCAATTTCGATATTATGATTACACCGGAAAATAACACTGAAATTAAATGTTCTACTTTGCAAAACTCTTTAAATACAAGTAAAAATTCGGTTAAGTTGGTAGATTTTAGGTACACCAATATTACAAAGTATCTCTCCGTACAACAAATTACCATCATCAGAAAAATTCTCCAGAAACATTTGTAATGTTTTAAATTTTGAAAATTTGCCCGATTCAACGGGTAAGTATGAACAAATGACAGAAGTATTGCAAAAAAGTCAGAAATATTATGACAAAAATTCATCGAATATAAATTTTACAATTTATAAAAAAATTGAGTGACAAATGCGCATGCACATGTGCATACGCACCAGAATTTGCGATATTTAGTAATGCTTATAAATGCAAATGTAAATAGATATCTTTAGACATTTGTGATTTCAAATAGATGTTTCCACATAAACGTGTATAATTTATAAAAGTTTAATAATTTAGAATAAGTATAATTAAGTAAATAATGTAAAAATACATTAACATTTATAATTTTAATTATATTTTTTATTTTTATGTCAAGCCATGTATAACTTATCATGCTTCCAGAATTGAAATATTCAAGAGAAATATATACACATATATATAATTTTAAGAGACAACGTACAATTTTGGATATATAACTAACAACTAATTAAGAAGAATGTAAAAATGGGGGCGTTTTATAGTATGAAGATACGTTAACTCCTTACAATAGCATTTAATTAACAGTTTCGTAAAACGTATGCATATATTTAAATTTGTGTTTGGAAAGAACGAAAATATATATTGCAATTTAAATTACACAAAGAACAATAAGTGAAAAAGGCAAATTTTGACCCATCGTGGGGAACGGACAAAACATTTCTAGAAGATTTTAACTCATTGAATACAATACCGTCGTTAGTTTTTATTTAAAACCCGAGGAAATGTTCTAATTCGAGGATCTATTATCCAATAATTGAATGGCCCGGTAAGCCTTTGCGTAAACTTTGAAGCTATTGCAAACTCGTGTATTAGTTAAATTAACTGAAGACAGTTTAGATTTTCGATTTAATAGAATTATTTTCGATTTAATAGTTAAAAGTGTTCTCTTTTTATGCAAAATTTGCTATAACATATACAGCATCACAGATTATGCCAAAATTTGCGTATAACTATACAGCATCACAGATCACTCGTGCCACCGAGTTTTTGTAAACACATTTTAGGGAAAAATGTTTTCAGACAAAATTCTTACTTTTTGTTAACTTATCGACCTTTGGAAAATTCAAAATCATAAATTAACAAAGTCAGGCGCTCTTATAACAA